AGGTTATGACATGGGTGAACTTTGAAAACATCATGCTTAATAAAAGAAGATACAAAAGACCACATATTATATGAATCCATTTATATGAAATGTCCAGAATAAGCAACATATAGAGTAAAAAGTGGTTGCATAGGGCTGGGAAGTGGGGTTGGAAGGAAATGGGAAACGACTGCTAATGAATATGGAGTTTCTTTTGGGGGATCGTGAAAATGTTCTAAAACTGAATGTGGTGATGGTTGTGTGAAGATGATAAGAACCCAATGAGTTGGGACTTTACTGGTGGCGCAGTGGTTAAGAATCCGCCTGCCAATGCAGGGGACACGTGTTTGAGCCCTGGTCCAGAGGATCCCACATTCCGCAGGGCAAGCCCATGTGCCACAACTACTAAGCCTATGCTCTAGAGCCCAGGAACCACACTACTGAGCCCATGTGCCACAACTACTGAAGCCCACGCACCTAGAGCCCATGCTCTGAAACAAGAGAAGCCACCAAAATGAGAAGTCTGCACACCGCAACGACCCCACTCGCCACAACTAGAGAAAGCCCGTGTGCAGCAACGAAGATCCGACACAACCATAAATAAATAAATAAATAAATTAATTTTTTTTAAAAAAGAACCATTGAGTTGTATGATTTAACTGAGTGAACTGTGTAGTATGTGAATGTATCACAATACAATTGTTATTTAAAAAAATGGAAAAAGAGGATGTTCAGGCAAAGTGAGTTACTGGCTTTAAGAGGGGAAATTGCTCCCTTGTGATGGAGGAAACACTCACATTTCTCCGCACACTGCTCCTGCCTGCGGGGAGGAGAAGTCAGGGACTTCCCTAGTTTCCAGGGAGAAGCAGAGGCTAAAGGAGGAGAGTGGGTGACTGGTCAGCTGACCTCAGAGCCTCCCCTCTCCACAGATGGACCTGAAACCAGGTTCCAATGGACCAACAAGCTAAGTGGCAAAAAGTAAGCAAACAAACGGTCCAATTCATAGAGAAGTGGAACTGATTAGCTGTGAGATCTTCAGGGGGAAAAGGATTTTCTTATCTTAGAAATGACAATAGAAATCACAGAGGAAATCAGTGGATATAGTCAACTATGTGAAAAGGAAATTAATCAGATGTCAAGGCAAAAAAGAAAGGCAAACATGACTAGAGAAGATTTGTAACAAATATGACAGGGTAATGTTTTGTCACGTGAAAATCACGCATAAATTGTTAACAGTAAAATTGTATGACCCTAATAGAGAAATAGATAAAGGATATGAAAACATAAAAGAAAAAATATAACTGGTAAAAGACCATCTGGGAAAGTGCCCAAAGTTTCTAGTAATAAAAGATACACAATTTTAAAGGGATGTAAATGGGGGAAAAATGCAAATTGGAAGAGATGCAAATTCTAAGGCAAAAAATCTGCTTCCCCATCAAGTCAGTTACATTTTTTTAAACCTTTTTATTGGGAAAAAATTTAAAACCCACAGAATACTTGCAAGAATAGTACAATGAATTCCCATATATGCTTCACCTATATATGCCAATTGTTTTGGAAATGTGTTTTTTTTTTAATAAATTTATTTATTTTTGGCTGTGTGACGTCTTCGTTGCTGCGCACGGGCTTTCTCTAGTTGTGGCGAATGGGGGCTACTCTTCATTGCAGTGCGCGGGCTTATTGTGGTGGCTTCTCTTGTTGTGGAGCACAGGCTCTAGGCATGCGGGCTTAAGTAGTTGCAGTACACGGGCTTAGTTGCTCTGCAGCATGTGGGATCTTTCAGGACCAGGGCTTGAACCCGTGTCACCTGCACTGGCAGGCAGATTCTTAACCACTGAGCCCCAGGGAAGCCCTGGAAATGTGTTTTTTAATTGATCGTCCCCAGTACTGGGGAGCTGGGATGAAATGTCAGTGGGAAGGTAAAAATATGAGGAAATCTTCTGGAAAACAATCTGGCCGATGCCCTTGACCCAGTATTTATACCCCTGTGGCAACATACAAAGGAATAAATTTTAATATAGTAAAAGATTTATGAAAAAAATATGTTTCTTTGCAGCATTGTTTGTCATAACAGGAAGAAATTGACTACTTCCCAAATGCCTGCAGCAAGTAGGATTAGTAAACCAGTAAATCTATTCAGTGGAATACTTTATAACTAATAAAAAATGTCTATAAGGAAAATACTTAAATAATGTTCAGTGAAAAAAAGGTTATACTTATACAGTGTGATCACTCATATATAAAAGGCCAAACAACAACAAAAAACCTGGGAGGAAAGACATCAAAAAGGTAAGTAGTTATTCCTAGAAAGTGTGACTAGAAAAGGTTTCTTTTCCTCCCTCCCCCCTTTTTGTACATTTCTGTATTTTCTGATTTGTCTTTAAAGAGCTATACTTTTATTATGAAGGCTATATCCTTTAAATGTTTTATTCTCTTTACTATTAAAGTAATTCATAGCAGTTATAAAGAACAGTTCATAATATAGAGAAATGTGTAAAGTTGACAGTAAACGTTTCCTGACCTGATTCTAATCCTCTGAATTTTTCAAAGTTAATAGATTCATGAGTATCCTTTCACACTTTCTTCTAAACAGAAACGTACTTCCCTAAAAGCAAAAATGGGATTGTAAACGCACCCCAGTTCTACACCGCACATGTTTCCACCTCATGGTCTGTGAGATACATTGGGTTTTTGTTTGTTTGTTTTTCTTGGCAGAGCTTTGCAGCTTGTGGGATCTTAGTGTTCCCAAACAGGGATGGAACCCGGGCCCTCAGCAGTGAAAGCGCAGAATCCTAACCACTGGACCGCTAGGGAATTCCTGTAGGTACTTTTCCATGACATTTCAGTCACCTCATTGTATTCAACAGCTACACAGGATCCTGGAAATGCTTTATCATTCATTTCACCGTCCCTCTAGGGTGGGTTAAGCTGTTTCTGCTTGTTTACCACTACAGTGTTGAGGTGAATATTTTTGTATTTTGGGTGTGTGTATATGCATATATGTATTTGAATAATTGTGTGTAAACTCTATATGTTATATATATTTATTTAAAGTCAGGTTAATAATATTATATATTATTATTTTGTGATCCCAAGTTGCTTTATTATTTTAAGTTGCTGTGTTTCTAAGGCAAATATGGCAAAATATTAATATCTGCTAAATCTGGATGGTAGATGCATAGATTTCTGTTACAGCCTTTCCGGCAGTTTTCATAGAATTTAAATATTTCAGTATTTAAAAATTAAGAACAATTAAAAGAAGGGATGGAAAATTACGTGTATTCACTCACTGTGAACACAGCAAAGGCTCATTAAACAGAAACTAGCCCTGGGAGAGGCCTCAGTTTAATAAGGCCCCATGATGCCTGCAGATAAGCAAACACTTTTAAATGGGGGTCGGGAGACCACTAACGCGTACTGAGTAGTCATTCTGGGTTAGGCATTGTCTAAGTGCTTTACACGTATCATTTAACTTTAATAAGAAATGAGGTGGCAAAAAATGAAAGTAAAGTAAATGTGATGAGTTGCATATGGTAAAGGCTTGTTAGAATCACAAAATAAAACAAACATACTGGAAAGGCTGAAGTTGGCTAAATAGAAAGAAACAAATTGTAGAAAATTCTCAGGAAGGCCTAAGCCCTTCTATCATGTAGGGAATGTATTATCTTGGACAGACACTTAATTGAATAATGAAATTAAGGCACAGTGATGTGAATCGACTAAAAGCATCAGTTGGATTGCCCAAGCCAGAAGCTTGGCAACATCACTTGTCATTTCCACCTCTCCCATATGCAGGTGATCTAGTCGTGCTGATTTATCTCCTAAATATTTCTGATCATACCCCTTTTCCTCTGATGCTCATGTCTGAAAATCTTAAAAACAATCTTTGATGTTTATATTTGAACCAGATAATACATTCACATAGTTCAAAAGTCAAAAGGTATAAAAATGTATATAAGGAGTATCTCCTTCCCACCCCAGTCTCCACCTGCCCATTTCTCCTCCCAAAGGCAAATTCTGCTTCCTGTTTCTTCTACATCCTTCCAGAGATATCTAGGCACAGATAAAAACATATACAGAGATACACTTTTTTGTGTGTGTGTGTGGTACGTGGGCCTCTCACTGTTGTGGCCTCTCCCGTTGCGGAGCACAGGCTCCGGACGCGCAGGCTCAGTGGCCATGGCTCACGGGCCCAGCCGTTCCGCGGCATGTGGGATCTTCCCGGACCGGGGCACGAACCCGTGTCCCCTGCATTGGCAGGCGGACTCTCAACCACTGCACTACCAGGGAAGCCCCCCCATTCCTTTTTAACAGGTGTATAGTACTCCACTGTATAAATGAGTAATTCATTTAGGTATTTTCTTTTTTAAAAAATCTCACAACAAGGCTGTGCAGTGAATAACATTTAACCCCCTCTTTTACTATATTGTTAGTGTACCTGCAGGATAAACTCCAGAAGGGAATTGCTCGGTCAGAGGGTCTGTGCATTTGTCTTTTGATAATTTGCCAGATTGCCTCCTAAGCGGTTGTACCAGTTCACATTCCACCAGCAATGTATGTACTCCCCTAGCCTCGCCAATATAGCGTGTTATCAAATTTTTCATATCTGTCAATTTGATGGGTGAAAAGGACATTGTATTCAAGTGAATGAGTGAGCCAATAACTAGGCATGTAAAAGGATGCAAACATTCTCCAAAGGGACTCAAACACTCCTATCCTATGAACATGAATCAATGTGAAATGATCACCAAGCAGAGAAGCCTGGGGTGAGTTGCTCTGAGTGGAGCAAGGCTGCTCTCCTCAGATCACTGGAGGATCCCCCACCTCCACAAGATTGTAAGCTCCGGAAGGGAAGTGACCAGGGCTATCTTGTTCACTGCTGTATCTCCTGTGCCCAGACCAGAGCCTGGCACTCAGCAAACATCTGTGCAGTGAATGAGTTATCTCAGGACCAGCCAGGGGACAGGCAGAGCAGGGTATGTGGAGAACACTTAGGGGTGGGGGGTGGGATGCCAGGATACACTGGTCATCAATGCTGTTCAGTGTGAAGCGGGTGTTGGAGAATCGGGCGAAGCCGTCCCGGTACAGCCAGGCTCGCAGCGGCATGTACTGTGGGGGAGGTGGAAATGGAGAGAGAGAAAAGGGAAGGGGAATCAATACCAGCACTTTCACAACTCCTAGCTTTTGCACCTGCTGTTTCCTCCGCCTGGCATGCCCTGCCTTCTCTCCCACATCATCCTTCGTGAATCTGCTCAAACATCAGCCTCCTTTGATTCGATCCCCCTCCTTCCCTGGAGGTAGAAGTAAGGGTAGGGAGATGCAGAAGGGAACAATTTTAGTGGGTGTCTTCTCTGCTCCGCTACCACATGTGACACCCACCAGCTCACGGTGTGTCCATATTCCCCACCAGACTGTAAGCTCCAGGAGGACAGGGGCCGAGCCTGTCTTGGACACCCTTATATCCTGTTCCCAGCAGAGAATATTGCACCAGGAAGATTTAAGTGTTTGTTGAATGCATGGGTGGAGGGAGTATAGCACCTCCTTTGTTAAGAGAGTAGGATGCCTGGATCCAAGTCCCAGCCCTGCCACTCACCTCAAGCAAGTCACTCAGTCCCTCTGATCTGTTTCCTTATCTGTCAAATGAGGCCAATAAAAGATCCTACCTCCCTGGTTATTAGGAGGACTGAATGAGATAAAACCTGCTAAATACTGGGCCCGGTTTTCAATACATGCTAGCTGTGGTTACCATGGACGACTGAATGAATAAAGAAGGAAGGCAGAGTGACAACCCAGTTGCTGGGGTCTCTGAGACGGCAAAGCTTGGATCTGTTTACCCACCCCCTGCGCTCTCCCAGGCAGGTTAAACCAGACAGCTCACACGGGTGCCCCCAGAATGGCTTCTGCCCCTGTCCCCCAGTCCAACTGTCCCTTCCCCGCCACTGGAGGAAGGCACCTGTACTGGTCACTCACCGACATCACCAGCACGTAGACACGCAGGTCGAACTTGCGGCCTGTCAGGCAAGGAAAGAATTAATCAGTGTAATGAATATTGAACGTGTACCATGCTAGGTTTGGGGGATACAACAGCTGACAGGCAGATGTGAATCCCAGTGTGCCACAGGAGGTACCGGGTGCCTGCCTAGCCCAGAGGGGGCGGGGCCTTCGCACAGGAGGAGCTGCCTGAGTAGAGGCCCAGAGGCGACAAAGAGCTTGGTCCAAGGGCAGAGTGGAAGGAGATGTGAGTGAGGTCAGCAGAGGCCAGGTCATGTGCAGTTTTTGGATTTTGTTCCACCAACCATGGGAAGCTACTGAAGGGTGTCCGATCCCTCTGGCAACTGTGTTTGGAGTAGAGCGAAGGGGGCCAGAGCAGTGGGCATCAATGCGGAGGCTGGCGTGTTGCCCTGGAGGGAGAGGACAGTGTTTGGAACTGGGATGGAGGTGGCCAGCAGGTTCAAAAGCTGCATGGGAACTTGATGGAGAACCAGATGTGGGAGGGAAGAGAGGGACGCTCCCAGAACGGTCTCCACCTTCTGGCTTGGGGGTGCGAGGGCTGCGTGCCCAGGGGGAGGCTGGTGGTTGAGCCAGATGGTGGGGGGAGGACAAGGGGTAGATTTTAGTCCTGTTGGATTTGAGTTGCTGAGAGATGCCTGCGAGGGGATGATACAGGCTGCAGGACATCAGGGTCTGGGGTGCGGGGCAAGGTCTCGGCTGCAGGCAGAAAGCTGGGAGTTACTGGATCTGGGTGGTGGTTAAAACCACGCAAGAGGATGGGGTCACTGGGAAAGGGAGGGGTGGAGAAGACACCACGGACTGCCCCGGCGGAAGGACATTTCCTGAGGAAGTGAGAGGAGGTAAGTGATGTCGTCCCTTTCGGAGCACTGGCTCCTCTCAGACCAGACCCTCCCAAGACGCCCCTCCTCACATACTGCCTGATGTGTCTGTACTTCACGGCCCCTGTGTGGGAAAAGCAGAGGTGGAGACGGCCTGGGGAAATCCAAGAAGCTTTCATGCGCCATAGCCTGGTTCCGCCTCAGGCCCTTGGCCCTTACAGCTCCCCGGGCCTCCAAATCTACCCACGGGTGACTCCTAGCTGTCATTCAGGGTTCAGCTCCCGTCACCTCTGCAGAGAGGCCCTCCCTCACTCTGCACTTGATTTACTTCCTAACACTCGCCGCTGTGTGGAACTATCTTACTTCTTTGTTTCTGGTTTATTGCTGTCTGCTCATTGGAGTGTAAGCTCCAAGAGAACAGGGTGGGCCAGCACCCTGGACGATGGTTGGCACTGACTAGGCACTTTGTAAATATTTGTTGGATAAACGCATGAAGGAGCTGGTTCTTGAAGAATGAAGAGGATTTTAGTGAACCAGGAAGGGAGAGGGAAGGGCATGCCAGGCAGGGGGAACCTTAGGGGCAATGGCTGGGAGGTGGGAGCATGCAGGCTGGGATTCTGTCTTTGCACCCCATCATGCCTGGTGTCAGGCTGAGCCCACGTTGGGCTGCTAATCAAGGCTTGTTGACTGACTGACCGACCATCCCATGGAAGGGCAGGAGCAGAGACAGCCATCTTACCTCCTATCAGGTAGGGATTTTCGATGTAATGCTGAGCTACATAGTTCTCCACGGGAATATCATCTTTCTGGTCATCAGAACTTCTTGTGGCCTAGTTGTAATAATAATTGTTATTAACATTTTTTCGCATTTCCTGTATATGAGGCATTGTGATAGGCACTCTACTTGGGGGTATATGATCTGATCCTTAAATCAACCCTGTCGGGAAAGTACTAATGTTATTCCCGTTTTACAGATGAGAAACTGAAGCACAGAGAAGGGGAGTGACTTGCCCATGGTAACACAGCCAACTGGTGGTACAGCTGGGAAGTGGACCCACACAGGCTGGGCCCAGAGCCTGGGTATTTAGCCTCTAGATCTGTGCTTCCCAGTAGGGCAGCTACTGGCCACATGTGGCTATGTACATTTATATTTAAATTGATTAAAAGGAAATGATGTTACGTGCTACAATATGGAGGAAACTTAAAGGCTTCATGCTAAGTGAAACAAGCCAGACATAAAAGGACAAATATTGTATGATTCCACTTATACGAGGTACCTAGAGTAGTGGAATTCATAGAGACAGAAAGTAGAAGCGTGGTTGCCAGGGGCTGGGGGCAGGGGGGCAGGAGGGAATTAGTGTTTAATGGCTACAAGTTTCAGCTGGAGAAGATGAAAAAGTTCTAGAAATGGATGGTGGTGACTGTTGCACAAAACTATGAATGTACTTAATGCCATTGAATTGTACACAAATAGAGTTAAACTGGTAAGTTTTATGTATATTTTACCGCAATAAAAGAGGAAATAAATTAAAAATCCAGTCCTTCAGTCGCACTAGCCTCATTTCCAGTGTTCAGTATATCAACATGTCGCTAGTGGTCAGGGCATTGGAGAGCACAGGTGTGCACCATTCCCACCACTGTAGAAAGTTCCGTTGGTCAGTGCTGCCTGGAGTACCACCCAGGCCTCCAAGGACATTCCTCTCCCTTCTCTACTTGCTAATTCTTTGCAGGCCAGCCCAGCTCAGGAGGATAGCATGCTCCTTTTCACCTCACCATCTGCAAAGCCCTTTCCCACCCACTGTCCCCTTCACAGTAACCTTGTGAGAAAACCGAGGCCCAAAGGCAAATGTCACACACCTGGTAAGGTCACACAACAGCCAGGGGCAGTGAGCGCTGGAACTCAGGGCTTCTGGGCCCAAGGGCCAGAATTTTCTACACCTACCACCATCCCCACCCCCAAGCTGCTTCAATATCGAGGCAGCCAGGTCTTCTCTTTCTGGGACCCAGGGCTACCCCCACCTATACTCATGTGGCTGCCAGAGGGGTTGACAGCGCTCGGAGCCGGCTAAGCCCCCAGGCTGGTGAGCTTCTTCGCGGCGGTGCCCCGACAGTTCCATGGGAGGAATCAGGACACACGGTGGGGAGGAAAAATTCATTTATTGAGCACCTGCTGTGAGCTGCTGACACGGTAGGTGCCCGTTGTGGAGTTCTGTCATCCTGCCCCTCACACCCACCCTGCACATTATCATCCCTAAGGGGCTCAGCAGTTTCCCCAGGACCACACAGCTGCTGAGGCAGGATTGGGACCAGGATTTCTGCTGTGACAAAGACGGGGTTGGGGGAGGGAGGGACCTGCCTCGGGCTCAGTCCAGGACCTGGAGGAAGAGTTAGCCAAACTCTCTGCAGCCAGGTGAGCAGGAAGCCCAGGAAAAGAATGCACCGTTCTCTTAGACATATTAACTCACTGATTCACAGGGGCACAGAGAGGTGAAATGACTTGCCCAAGGTCACACAGCTATTAAGTGGCAAGGTCAGGATTTGAACCCAGGCAATTTGGCTCCAGAGACCCTGCACCCATAGGCAGGCCTGCAGGCAGAGCTTCTTGGCCAGCCCTCCAAGCTTTGAGGGCAAGGAGGAGGGGTCCCTCATCCATGCAAGGGCAAAGGAGGGTTTGGGGAGGAAGAGGGAGGGGCAAGCTCACCTTCTTCCAGTCCATGATGTCCTTCAGCCTCCGGAAGAGGAAGATGCCCTTCCCCTGCGACCGGGCTACCTGGGGTGGGGGTGAGGGCAGAAAGGTTGGCTCTCAGCTCTGTGTGGTTCCCTGTTGGCCCCTGGGCTTGGGGGCCTGGGGCCCCTCCCCAGGGGCCCCTCCCCAGCATTTTTCTGTTTCCGTCCCCGAGGGCCCCCTAGCTGTCCCTGAGGAATGGCCCAGCCCAGCGTTGAAGGGGTTGGGACAGAGAAGGTGCTAAGCATGGTGGGAGGGAGAGAGGGAAGTGGGAAGGAAAGTGAGAGACCGACTGAGCTCACAAAGGCACACAATTGCATGAATAATACAAAGGAGCAGACAATTAAAAAGCCATTTCTAACAGTCCTGGGAACACATCATCCACTTCTTTTTTTGGAAATCAATTTGCCTTCCTAATTAGATTTTGCTTCAGCTAATACTGCAATCAGCCTGCCTTTATTGAATCCCAGCATGGATAATTCAAAGCTTCACAGAGTCTAGGGGTTGGGAGAATCTTTCATACCATGCAGGGCAGCAGGCACCAAAGGCATTGCTCCCTCTGTGACATCCCTCCATAATGGTCACCTGCCTGACCTTGCACATCCACAGTGCCAGGGAGCTCACTACCTTACCCCGCCCCTTGACAGCCCATTCCACGGCAGGATAGCTTTATTAAGCAGTCATTTCATCCAGAAGGTACCTATTAGATGCCTACTCTGTGCTTGGCTTTATGCTACAGCAGTAACCCAGACCTCATGGAACTTTCACAGCTTAACCTGTGTTAAAATTCGCCTGCCTGGTTCTGGCCTCTAGGCCTCCTACAACAAATCTGGTTCCTGGGCCTCAGAACAGCCCTTTGGTTATTTGCAGCCCCTGAGCAAGTGCCCCGGAGCCATTTTTTCTCCAGCATAAATGCACCCAGCCTGAGCAAACTCTCATTTCGTTCTCATCTCCTCTGAGCATGGCCCAGCTGGTCAAAGCGAGGCTCTTGGTACGATGTGAGGCGGGCAGGGCCATCAGGCATGGTCGCGGGTTGTTGCAAGAAGGGCTTCCAGCGGTGGGGGCAGTGGGAGCTAAAAACCTAGCCCTGCTCTGCCTGCCATGTTGTGCACCCTGGTTCAGGGTTGTGTGTGCCCAGAAGATGGGGTGCCCAAAATACTGGAGCACTGGCAGTGGGGCAGGGCCAGCCACACGTGCACAGCTCTTTTGGAAAACAATTACTCAGTGTGCATCCAGGGCTTCCAACGGTTCACAGCTGTGCAAAGACTTGACTGGGCACTTCGCGAGAGATGACCCAGAGTAAGCAATGAAAAGGCACTGACCCATAGTCTTCAGGGAAACGCAAATGAAAACCCCAATATGATAGCACTACACACTCCCCAGGAATGGCTAAAAGTAAAGGCAGACACTACCAAGTGTTGGTGAGGATGTGGAGAAACTGGAACGCTCACACACTGCATTGTTGGGAAACTGTTGGGCAGCATCCACTAAAACTGAAGGCAGGCACCCCTGTGACCCAGTGATTCCTCTCCTAGGTAACTCCGTGACAGAAACGTGTGCACGTGGGCATCCATGGACATGCACGGCAATGTCCAAGCAGCACAATTCATAATAACTCCAACCTTGAAACTCTCAAATGAATAAATATTCTCTCAATGGAATAGTGTACAACAATGCTTAACAATTTACAGTTACCCACATCAGTATGGATGAATTGCACGGACATAATGTTGAAGGAGAGAAACCAGACACAATGTAGCTGTACTGCATGATTCCAATTATATAAAGTCCCAAAACAGACAAAAAGAACCTATGCTGTCAGTGACTGGGGGTGGTGGGTGGAAAGGGGTCTGGGGGAGCTGCTGAGGGGCTGGCAATGCTCTGTGTATAATCTGGGTACTAGTGTTCACCTTGTGAAAATTCATCAAGCTATATCCTTAATAATTTGGGAACTTTCTGTTTTATTAAACTTCAATTAAAAAAAATTTTTTTAACAGTTCATACCTTTTGATCTAGGAACCGCCACCCCCACCCCTGTTGGTTGACTTCCCTAAAGCCATTCTACTTCCTCTTGTTCCTGACTGACAAAGCCCACCTCTCAGGATGGAGGCTAGAAAGACCAGATACTTGTTTTCCCAGCCTCCCTTGCAGCTAATGGAAACCATGTGACCCGTTTTGGCCAAAGAGACCTAAGGAGATACCTGCTTGGGGCTTTGAGGAAAGAATTTCATCCTTGTTAAAAATATTAGGGTTGGGGAGAGATTGGGGGTGGGGGGGAGAGAGAGAGAGAGAGAGAAAGTGTCTGCCCCTTGTTCAAATGCTGCATCTGAGGAGGTGATACCTGCAGCTAAAACAGCCATCTCACATCCATAAGGTGACAAGTTTGATGACAGAAACCCAACAAACTGAGGAGGCAGAGTGGACAAAGAGAAGAAGCCCGGGCTTTCAATGGCACCTTTGAGCACATCCCTAAACCTGGAACTGCCTACCTCCAGCTTTCTTGTTATATAAGATAATGAAAAGCCTTTATTGTTTAAAGCCTTGTTAGTCACTGACATGCCTATTCCAGGAGATGTCCTGGAATAATCCTAAAGAGTGGAAAATAAACTTCCTGCGTGGTGATATATCAGAGTTGTTGAGACTGGAAATCACCTAACATCTAGCCCCACCAGACTGTCGTTTCCAAAAGCAATCACAACGATATTCCCAGTCCCACATGTCTTCCACAACCTTGCTAACCACCACCTTCCAACAAGAGGAAAGTCAATGTCCGTTCCCCTTGAATCTGCGTGAGCCTTCAGGACTGTCTCAACTAATTGTGTACAGCAGAAGTGATGCTGTGGGAATTCCAGTGCTGGGTCATAAAAGGCAACACAGCTTCCACACAGCTTTCTCTTTGGAGATGGTCACCCTTGGAACCCAGCCACCATGCTGTGAGGAAGCTCGGGTCATGTGGAGAAGCCCACACTGGGGGCAACTGAGTCTTCCAGCCCCCAACCCTGGCTGAACTCCCAGCCAGCAGCCAGCACCAACTTGCTAGCGGAGCGAGTGGGTCAGCTTGGCAGTGAGTCCTCCAGCCCTCAGTAAATCCGCCCAGGTAGATGCTGGAGCAGCCATGAGCCTTCCCTGTCAAGTGCTGCCCAAGCCGGAGGCTCATGAGCTAAATAAGAGATGATTGTTGTTTCAAGCCACGGAGTTTGGGGACGCAGCAACAGAAACAGAACTTTAGAGGAATAGTTCCTAAACAATGGTAATATTAGAAGCTAATACTTCTCAACAATGAACCAGGCACAAGGATTTTACACACATTTCCTCATTAAAGCTTTATTTTTTTCACCTTGCATTTTCTTTTTTTTTTTTTGTCGGTACGCGGGTCTCTCACTGCTGTGGCCTCTCCCGTTGCGGAGCACAGGCTCCGGACACGCAGGCTCAGTGGCCATGGCTCACAGGCCTAGCCGCTCCGCGGCATGTGGGATCTTCCCGGACTGGGGCGCGAACCCGCGTCCCCTGCATCGGCAGGCGGACTCTCAACCACTGCGCCACCAGGGAAGCCCTCTATTTACTATTTTACATTAAAATTTTCTGACATATCAAAAGCAGAGAATAGTACATACTCAATACACAAATTCAAAATTATCGAACTTTCATTTTAAAACAAATCCCAGATGTCATGTTATTTCACCCTTACAGACTGTGTGCATCTTGTTTTCAAAAAATTGACAGTCTGCTATATAACCATAATACCATTATCATAAAAGACATAATTAATAATGATGTCTTAGCGTCTGATTCTTCAGTCCATAATCAAATTCCCCTGATTATCTCAAAAATGTCCTTTTATAATAGGTTTAAGTCCAGACCTAAACAGCTCCCTACATTGCATTTGGTTGTTATGACACCTAAGTCTCTTTTAATTGAGGACAGTCCTCCCTCCTTTCCCCTGCCATTGACTAGGTGTACAAACCAATTGTCCTGTGCACTGTTCCATATTCTGGGTAGGTCTGTTTCCTTGTAGCACCATTTAAAGTATTCCTCTTTTCTTTGTATTTCCTATAAATGAAACTTAGCTCTAGAGGTTTGGTTACATTCAGGTTCCCCTTTTTGGCAAGAATACACAGCTGGTGCTATTCCGTCACAGTTGTCTGTTTGCTCCACATCTAGAGATGCTAAGATTGACCAGCTTGCACCTTTTTCAACTTCACGTTCTATCCTGAGCATCTCTCCATTTCAGCTCGTATAGAATGTCCTGGTTCTTTATTATGGCTACATAGATCCCGTTGGGTGAAAATAACAAAGTGATCATTCCCTTGAAAAGAATACTTCATCTCAATTTATTTGTAAAGATGATCATAAAAGACCCATCGAGGTCTATGATTCTTTAATTATGTGCAACAGAAGTTTGCTTTTTAAAAGGAGCCCTTGAATGTATTTTTGGTAAAGAAGTCTGTTGTATTGTAATTAATTAGTTTCTGAATTCTGTCTAGAAAGTCATATCATGAATTTTCTTAAAGGACAGTTGAGTGTTGGCTATAATTATGTGGAGGGATAACTACAAGAAAACTATTGCATATGATACTACTATAGAAATGGTTTTGCTTTTTTCCCTTTGTCAACAGGAAAAGGGACAGAAAATCTCAGACTCCTTAAAGATAGCCTCCAAACACCAAAGGGAAGCACTGGAATTATGTGTAATTAGAATTACGCATTTATAGATAACTAAGGGGCCACCTGACAAAATTCATAAAATGGAAGTGAGAGAATTTTACTGAGGAGACAGGAAAACATGGGCGATAGAGATGGGATCACCTGGAAAAACTCAGTCCAAATAGAATCTACACTATAGAATGGGGGAGCCGCAGTGGAATGGATACTGGGGAGACAGTAACGCCCACTAAAGCTGGAATCCTATATGTACTTAATTTGAATAAAAATTCTCTCTTATTTAAATCACAGCATCTCAGTTAGGTTCCATGTACCATTAGTCCCAAAGTTTTGCAAAGGTAGACACTGAGGTTGGATATAAATTATAACAAGCTACGCAAATT